CGTTCGCTGTTTGTAGAGGAACGCAAATACTGGGGCGAACTTGCAAAGCAGAGGAAGAAAGAGCACGAGGAGATGAATACCCATGGTACGTCTATCGGTTGTTGTGATTTGCTAAGGTAGTGATAGTTTTGTTTCTGTTATAATGTGTTAATATTATGTACCGTTCGGCGTTGTTAGTAAAGAATAAAATATTTAAATAAAATATATATTGTATAATAAGCCATTCAGATAAGATATAAGCTGTAAATTAACTTATTTAAGGATTATAAGATAGCAGAAGAAGTATTATGCCATATCAGAAGAGGGGTGCAATATATACCATTGTAGACTTTCCTAAGAGCTATAATTCTTATATCCCCATTGTAAGGACATGTAATGTTTATTAATTCTCATAATATAAATCTGTCTTATTACAACCTTATAGTATCTTTTATATATCTTATCCAATGAGGGGTGCAATAAATGTCATTATGGATAATATTGTTTTTTTACATATTATATATGCATATAAGAGTATATAATAATTAAGACTTTTTCCTGACACAGGCTTAGGCGAACTATAGAAAACATATATATGATCATTAATTAGCATAGTTTTCAACTTAAAATCATTTGGAACTATTCACACATCTAATGGACTTGCAAACAGAGCAAGAAGATGAAAAAGCAGATGAAAGTCTTGACACTTTGCAACATAATACGGATGTACATGGTTCTCAGATATTTTGTTGCATAATACATATTGGATTTAAGAATCCGGAAAACCTAACAAAGACACAAATAAGAAATAATAAAGTCTCACTGTCAGCCTTCTCTTCTATAGCCAAACTAATGTCGACTTGTACGTCCTTGATTAAAACGTATCAGGTAGGAGACTTTTCAGCTTACAGTTCCTCGGAACTTTAGAATGCATACGCATTTTATTTTATTTTTTGATCCTCAAAGCGAAGCTTCTAAGTAGCGAGAAGACAGGATGAGTAAACCGAAGTTCGCTCATATGCATTCTTACACCCATCAAAAGTAGCCAAATATGACATTTTTGCAACATAATAAAGTACATACATCTTAGATATTTTGTCGCATATCGTTTGTTTGTTTTCGATCGAAAGTCAAGTTAAAGGAACATGTGAATAAGAGATTACAAAGCCTCGCCGTCGACTTACGCTCAAATTGACATGCCGATGTTAACGTGTACAGCCTTGATAGCAGAGTAGCTAAAGTATGCTCAGTCTTATGTTTTTACCATTTTAAAAGGGAAATAAAAACTCACTTGGCCAAAGCATACTCTCCAAGCTCACGTCCAATACCCGACTGCTTATACCCACCAAACGGAATCTGTGTGTTCAAAGTATTCGCGCAATTGATCCATGCAGTGCCCGCATGCAACCTATGCGCAACCCTCAGAGCCCGATCAATGTTTTTGCTGAAAACAGCCGCAGCCAATCCGTAATGAGTGTCGTTCGCCTGTCGAATCACGTCTTCTTCGTCGTGGAACTTGATCACGACACCAACGGGACCGAAGATCTCTTCCCGCACGATCTTCATGTCTGGACGCGTGTTGGTGAAGATGGTGGGTTCGATGAAGTAGCCCTCTTTTCCGAATCGGCTACCACCCGTGTGGATTGTGGCGCCTTCTTGCTTGCCTGACTCGATGTAGCCCATGATACGCTAAGTCGGTGTATCAAGACGGATTAAAGAAAGGAAATTTCGAAGTGTATGCAGGAACTACGCACGTCGAATTGGGGTTGCGAAACCTGTGGTCCTTGGTACGTATCCACACCGAATGGGTCACCAATCTTAAGCCCCTGTGCCTTTGCAGTGAACTTCTGCAGGAACTCGTCGTAAATCTTCTCCTGCACGAAGATTCGGGTACCCGCACAGCACGCCTGACCATGGTTCCAGCTACAAGCACATTAAGAAATGATATGATAGTGGGTAGATACGAACGCTTACAAGACACCGTGAGCAGCCCAGTCGACAGCCTGTTGGATGTCGGCATCATCAAAAATGATGTTCGGGCTCTTTCCTCCAAGCTCAAGGGTGACCTTCTTTAAGTTTGTCTTTGCAGCAGCTTCCATGATCCTGCGTCCGACGAGGGTGCTACCGGTGAAGGCGACTTTTTCGATATCAGGATGCTCGGCGATTGCGGCACCAGCATCAGGTCCAAGGCCATTGATGATGTTGACAACACCAGGAGGGAAACCAGCCTCCTCGATGAGGCCGACCATGCGGAGTGCGGTCAGCGGAGTGAATTCACTCGGCTTCAGGACAATCGCGTTACCCGTTGCGAGAGCGGGACCAATCTTCCATGCAAGCATAAGGAGCTGCGCGCATAATTTCAAATTAGCCAATAGGAACGTAATGTATGCATCAGAAGGCGTTTACTCACCGGGAAGTTCCACGGAATGATTTGGCCAACGACGCCGATCGGCTCATGACGCGTGTAGGCAAGCTTGCCCTCGTCAGTCTCTATTACCTTTCCATGGTTCTTGTCAGCCCAGCCTCCGTAATAGCGAATGCATTGAATTGATCCGGGAAGGTCCACGTTCCTTGCCCACGAGAACGTCTTGCCTGGAAAGTCACGTGGCGAGTCAATTACCTATGACGCAACTGCCACTGAGAGTATGGGAAGTATTCAACGGACCATTATCAAGCGCCTCAAGCGCAGAGAGCTCGTCGTGGTGTTCTTCCATCAACGTCGCGAGCTTCATGAGCAGCTTCCCGCGCTCATAGCCCGGGCAATTGAGGCCCCAGACAGTGTTGTATGCCTTGTGTGCTGCCTTGACTGCAAGGTCGATGTCCTTCTTATTACCAATACACATCTTCGTCGTCACCTTCCCAGTTGCTGTATAGCGAAAGGAGTTAATGAGCGCCGAGACATTGGGGTGATTGACAGAGAAGACGAACTCGGATTGATGACACTGGACATCCAATGATGTATAGAGTTAGTATCAACGTGATTAGCTTTGATACCCAGTGCTTCGACTTACTCATAAGTAAGTCCGTCGACGCCATCAACGGATTTCCCGTCAATGTAGAGGCCGGTACTGAACGAGGTTTTCCCCTTGAAGACAGGGGTGTTAAATTCGTAGGTAAAAGTCTGTGGCATTGTGGTGAAAGCGACGAGATACGAGAGTGAGAATGAGAGGTGAGGTGAGACTTTGAGACAATGAGAAACCGAATGTACGAGAATGAAACGTTCTTTATAGTAGCCCAGAGCGCGCCTTGCCGGAGTTCCGCTGTGACCTGGAAACGGATAGAAAGGTGGGAAAGAATTGTCACGAGAATGGGGAGTGAATCAACGAATTGGATAGGAGGGCAATGGTCAGAAGGCTTCTGGAGCCGTAAGTGTCCCATGACCGCCGATAAACTCGATCGCATCGTGTGTAACCAAGAGGGTAAATCAATACCCCGCATTATTTTAGTGATAATTTGTCATCCGCGATTGTGGGGGTGGGGATGATATGTATTACTATCGATTCGATTACATTGATGCAGACCCTCGGTCTTTCCATTCACTTTGCCGGAGAAAGCAGGCTTTGGGATGTAATTCAGTTGTTTGAAAGCACAAAGAAATATTCAATCCATTACACTCACGCTTTCAATCACAAGTCTTTGCTATGGTTTCTTGAGAAGAGTTGTCCGAATGTCGGAAGATCGAGGTCGAGGACGAGGGAAGGATAACGAAAACGAATTCAATTCCTTCGCGGGGGTGGCACAGCATTTGTTCCGGCGGCTTCCGAAATCTGAGGTGTGATCCAATAGAAATCCGGACAATTTCGGGTCATTCCCATATGTCCTCGTTGTACCCAACCATTCAGCCTCTTTGCTACGGCGGAACTTCAAGGTCCGTGCTTCTGCATTATCCGGTGGCGAAAGCTGTTGATAGGTGCCAAGAACCGCTCTGTGCGCTCGTCCTTCCGAAAAATGCTGCATTCTAGCAACATGGATTTGCACAGGTACGATGCCATCTGCGTCCGGATATCGGAAATAAGTATCGAGACTTGACGGACAACTCGAGTTTGTCCCACACTCTGACTGCGCAATATCCCGTTATGTAAGGCAATCTTGATCTCTGTCGGAAAACTGTTAACCAGTTCAATACTTTGCATCTGCTACTATCACGTACTTCTCCAGCTGGATTTGTTGTAGTCCCTCACAGCCGAAATCATTCCATAATAGTATTTTTAATAAATTATTAGAACTGATGGGACGTTGAAATACACTTGCTCACGAGGCATTGTTGGACTACGACTCTACGAGCAGTATGATGTAAACGCAACCAATTAATCTTTGCAAGGCTGCATTTTGCGCCTTAGATCATGATGAAGTGCTTTAGTACTGAGGTGGTGTACTTTGCATACATATATCTGGAGATTGTGACATATATAATGATGGTAAATGATACTAATGCTTACGCCACACTCTGTTATTCCAGACAGACCGTGCGATCCCCGACCAAGCTGTAAGTCACAATGAGTCAGAAACAATCTTCAAAATCAAGCCGAAACAATAGCTGTAACAATAGCACAATCAAAGCTAGTGTGCCTCTCGACTTCCAAGAGGAACTAGAAAGATACCAAGCATTAGTGAAGGTTAGACTAGAAGCATTCAAGGAGTGTGAAGAGAGAAGGCATGCAAGAACAAGGGGCTAGGTGACGATTGACCACTCAGTGTCTCTCGTCCTTATATTGTATGTATTCTAACTGAGACATTATGAAGTCATTGTCTTGTGATAAACTCATCATCTTGTAATACTCCCCTTCAAACTCTTACTAGTCTGAGTAAACCAGTAAGATGTTTGACTTGTAGTACATATAGTGCTTTTGTTAATATATCCACTCTTTGATTGTTTGTCTGTATGTATTTCACATTTATGTACTCTAACTCAATATAGCAATAAAATCTTTCTTATGATCTAAATGCTTTGTCTGTTCTGAGTATTTGAGTTCATCCAATGTAACCATTTGTATGACAGTATTGTTATCACAATAAATATTAATTGGTGCTTCAGAGTCCTACAGAATCTCTTCAGCTAAATGAGTAAGTGTGATCACTTCTTGTGTTCCTCTTGTAAGAGCTATTAATTCAGCTTCATATGTTGAATTTGCTACTAGTGTTTGTCTTTTACTTGACCACAAAACTAATGAATTGCTCAAGTAAAATGTATATCCTGATATTGTATAATGCCCTTCTTGTATCATACTGTCTGTGTCTGTATATCTATTCAATATTGATTGATTTGTACTGCTGAGTTGGAACCAGACATTGTTCATAGTTTTTAAGTACATGTAACAGTGTTTAAGTGCTAGATAATACTCTATACCAGGGTCATTAAGGTATTTAGCTAACTGATTTGTTGCAAATGCTATATCTGACTGTGTACAGTCTGTAATGTATCTAAGTGTACTAACTATGTTCATGTATAGTATATTAGACATTTGTTTTCTATTGTTATCAGTTTGCAATATTGTTTTTAATTGTGTACCCAGTTGTATGTGTGTGTCAGCAACAGTGTAGAGGGGACCCAAAGGCTCAGCAAGGGGACCCAGGCTACAACTATCCTACACAACAGAAATACAGGATGCAAGCACTGGAACGTAGTCAGAACTCACAGAACAGGCAGAGAGAGAGAGTAAGACAAGAGTAGAGTATATAGAGTGAGCCTAAGAGTACAGGACTACCTGGAGTAGACAAGATCAAGACTACAGGACCAGTCTGATCTTGTACACCTATATATACTAAACTA